ACTAGAAGGACCCTACCAGGAATTCGTACTAAAATGTTAGAAGAATTATCTATTCTGAGTAATGAATCCTGGGGAAAAACAATATACATTTTATTCTAACATGCACAAATCCTGGTTCAGAATAGACATGATCTGGATGAATTCAGAATTAAGTGGAAATGTACAAGAGATTGAAATTGAACCAAATTTATGGGCAGACCACAATCCAATAAAAATTAGAGCACCCATGAATTCTGAAGGCAAGCTGTTCCACTGATGAATTGTTCTCACTGTCAGGAAATTTCTCCTTCATTCTAGGTTGCTTCTATCGTTGACTAGTTCCCAACCATTGCTTCTTCTCCTGCCCTACCAAAGGTTGCTAATTTCTGGAAGGAATTTCTTGGCCAAACCAAGCTCTTGAGAACCTTTGGCGACTCTGAGCTTTAAGACGATGGACCAGTCCAAATCTAAATTGAAAAGGACGTAACCAAAATCCTACTTACGCTGAACTAAATGTAAGCTCTTTCCTTCCAGCGAAGGGAATGTATTTCTAAGTAAATCCAAACAGGAGAGGCACAGTACTTAAGGAAGAGAGAAATCAGCCGAATCGGAAGGCACAAATTTGTGTATTAGGAACATTAAAAGGGGCCTCTTGAGCCCACGCCAGATCCTTCTTTTCAAACAGCCTGTGGTTTTGTTTGGTTTGCTTTTGAACGTACACACACACACACACACACACACGAGCTGATGGAAGCCAGTCCATATGCTATCGCTCCCTGAAATGTTTCCATTCCGCCAGCCTTGTATTTTCAGCTGAAAAACTGTGACTGATGCATCTCAACGTCCAAACTTCTCAACCTCCTTCCGTGGGAAAAGCTAAACATCTACATCAGGATGGGGTGAGGGCCCGGGAGGGAAAAGTGGGAACGTGCCAGGCAGGTGGGGAGGGGAAGCTCCTTCAGGCCCTTTTTCTGGGACATCGGTGGTTAACCAGCCACAAATACAGGGAGAGACGGACGATATAGATGAGGTTTTCCCAACAGCTGTAGCAACACAATAAATGAAGTCCATCTGGGAGCTGGTTTTTTTGGTAGGACCTATGGTGACCTCTTTCCCTCCCATGCGTTCATGGCAGCCATCCTGAACCTGTGGGGCTCTTCCTACTATGCTCACATCCCCACTGTGGTCATACATTCACTGCTTGAGGTGTCTCACCTGGTTGCCATTCCTGTAGCATCTTTACTACAGGTAAACTTACAATAGTTCCTTTAGTGGCAGTTCAAAGTTACTAAGGGCACTGAAAAAACTGACTTAGGATTTTTTTTCGCACTTAGAACTATTGCAGCAATCCCAGGGTCATGCCATGTGATCAAAATTCAGATGTTTGGTAACTGGCATGTATTTAGCGAAGGTAAGGGAACAGGAAATGATACTAAACTATATTTGGGCTTGTGGAAATACCATCCCAGGAAAACATAAAAACTGAGATCTGAAAGAAACACCTGTAAAAACAGAAAAAGAAAGGGAGAGAGGAGGAGAGAACGAGAGGAAGAGGTAAGGAGCGGAGGGTGGAAGGGAGAGAAAAATCAGGAGAGAGGGTTGGAAGGGGAAGAGGAAGAGTAGGAGTAGGGGAGAGGTAAGGGGAGGGGAAGGAGAGGAGGAAGGAAGGAAGTAGAGAAGGGAGGGAGGGAAAAGAGAAAGGGAAAATAAGGTAGTGTTATCACCGGCGGAAGGGATGGTAAATAAAGCAGCCCAAATTGTATATTATAACCTATTACATGGAATAACAAATGTATAAGAATGACAAATGTAAAGAATAATAATTATGTGAATGTATACTCATAATTGTATGTAAGAGAATAAAAAATAAAAAACCTCCCCCCCCCAAAAAAAATGAAGTCCATCTGAGAGCCGTTTTTTTGGGTAGGACCTGTGGTGACCTCTTTCCCTCCCTCGCGTTCATGGCAGCCATCCTGATCCTGTGGGGCTCTTCCTACTATGCTCACATCCCCACCGTGGTCATACATTCACTGCTTGGAGTGTCTCACCTGGTTGCCATTCCTGTAGCATCTTTGCTACAGATAATCCTCAACTTACAATAGTTCCTTTAGTGGCAGTTCAAAGTTACTAATGGCACTGAAAAAACTGACTGAGGATTTTTTTTCTACACTTAGGACCAATCCCAGGGTCATGCCATGTGATCAAAATTCAGATGCTTGGTAAGTAGCATGTATGTATGATGGCTGCAGTATTCCAGGATCACATGATTCCCTGACAAGCAAAGTCAATGGGAAGCCATATCCATGTAATAACTATAGCAATAGCACTTAGACACAGCTTCAATGGGCTTTACAGCCCTCTCTAAGTGGTTTACATGGTCAGTGTATTTTTTTTAGAAAAAGTTGTTTATTTTTATTCAACATTAATCTTGCATCATTAATCAAATAGTATGTCATCTGGGTACAATTTTTGTGTCATCATCTCTAACATTTACCATCATTTTTAATACATTTTATTTTTCCATTTACCTTTACATTTCAATTACACTTCACTTCTGCTTCTCCCCTATAAATCTGCTTTCCTTCCCCATTTCTTTAATTTTATATCTCTTATTGTCTGTATTTGGTTTCTATCCAGTGATAAAATCTCCCCCGAATATTATAATACTCCGATTCTTCCTTCCCTTTGATTGCCAATGTTAATCTTTTTTTTTGAAAATTTTATTAATTTCATATATACATTCACAATTATATGATCTCATAACTGTTATTAATAATATGTACTTATAACAATTTTCCCCCTACAGCTGACAATATACTTGAAATTATTTTCTTACCATCCCATAACTCAACTCCATCTTATCTTACAACATTCCTACTTCTTCTTCCTTCCTTCCCTCCTTCCTTCCCTCCTTTCTTCTCTCCTACTCTCCTTCCTTCCCTCC